CCTGATGCACACTCTTCCTGATTTTAAACCATACAGTATTCTCTTGTTCTGTTCAAACATCTGCCTCTTGGTCTATATAAAGCTTCCTCATGAGTACAATGAAGTGTTTTGGAATTCCCATTCTTTGCAGTGTTATCCATAATTTGTTATGATCCACACAGCTGAAATCCTTTACATAGTCAATAAAACACAAGTAAACCTTTTTCTGGTATTCCTTGCTTTCAGCCATGATTTATTTGACATCAGCAATGATATCTCTTATATCATGTCCTCTTCTGAATCCAGCTTGAACTTCTGGCAGTTCTCTGTCAATGTACTGCTGCAACCATTTTTTGAATTACCTTCAGCAAAATTTTACTTGTATGTGATATTAATGACATTGTTCTATGATTTCCACATTCTGTTGGATCACCTTTCTTTGGAATGGGTACAAATATGGATCATTTACAGTTGGTTGGCCAGATGGCTGTCTTCCAAATTTCTTGGCATAAACAGGTGAGCACTTCTAGTGCATTTGTTGAAACATCTCAATGAGTATTCCATAAATTCCGGGACCCTTGTTTTTACCAGTTCCTTCAATGCAGCTTGGACTTCTTCCTTCAGTAACATTGGTTTTTGATCATATGCTCTCTATGAAAATGGCTGAATGTCAATCCATTCTTTTTGATACAGGAACTCTATGTATTCCTTCCATCCTCTTTTGATACTTCCTGCATTGTTCAATATTGTGTCATTAGAATTGGTATTGCAACTTGAGGCTTGAATTTTTTCTTCAGTTTTTCAGCTTGAGAAATGCTGAGTGTCTTCTTCCACTTTGATTTTCCATCTACAGGTCTTTGCACTTTCCATTGTAATACTTTACTTTGGCCTCTCAGGCTGCCCTTTGAAATCTTCTGTTCAGATCTTTTTCTTCATTAACTCTTCCATTCACTTTAGCTATTCTCCTTTCAAGGACAAGTTTCAGAGTCTCTTCTGCCATCCATTTTGGTCTTCTCTTCCTTTCCTGTCTCTTTAATGACCTTTTGCTTTCTTCATGCGTGATGTTCTTGATGTTATCCCACAATTTGGTCTTTGGTTACTGGTGTTTAATGCATCAAATCTCTTCTTCAGCTGGTCTTTAAATTCAAGTGGGATATACTCAAGGTCATATTTTGGCCCTAATGGTCTTGTTTTAACTTTCTTCAGCTTCAACTTAAATTTTCATAGGAGCAATTAATGGTCCAACCCACAGTCAGCCCCTGACCTTGTTCTGACTGATGATATTGAACTTCACCTCTTTCCATAGATATAGTCAACTTTATTCCTGTGTATTCCATCTGGTGAGACCCACATATATAGTCACCATTTATGTTGTTTACGAAAGGTTTAGGCTCAATCAGTCCTAGCGACTGGTACACCATCCGATCTGCAACCTATACAACTATGAGACCAGAAGAACTAGATGGTGCCCAGCTACCACTGCCATCCACTTGGAAGGGATGTAGGAGATCCTGCATAAAGAGGGAGAACAATGTGGTACAAAACTCAAAATCATTTGGAGGCAAAAAAAAAAAAAAAAAAAAAAGAGGGAACCAGGTTTGCTCGTCCAATAGAGCCTGGTGTAACCACTGAGACTATGGCCCCTAGCTGCCCTTCGGGTCTGGAATTGAACCCACAACTGTGGTTTCCAGCCAAACAAAGTACAGGCATGTGAGTTAAACATTTACCTCAAGTAGACACACGCCCTGGAGAGAACAATCATGGGAGAAGGAAGGGCTGCTTATGCACAGGGAGATAGCTCAGGGTGCAGAAGAATATGAAGGGATGGACACTGGGAGGAGGTAACTATGGAGAGGAAATGGGAGGGGAGCTGCTGCATTGTAAATTTTGGTCAATGACATGAGACAAAGTATATGTGAACTGCTGTATGAAAAGTGAATTTACTCTGTAAATCTTCACCCAAATCCTAATAAAAAAAAAAAAAAAAAAAAAGGTTTAGGCTATTGAGTAGCAAATGTTGACATTCACTTGGGAAGATAATAGGTGTGGGGAGGAGAATGATATAGTAGGACAGGGGAGACTTCATACTAGATGTGATGAGCCTAAAACACATGGTAAAATCCCAAGTAGAGATTCTAATATGCTATTATATATATGATTTGAGAAGGAGATTTAGGTAACTGAATTCAAAAGAGTTGATAAAATCATCCAGAGAATAGAATTTGAGTGAAGAAGGCCTAAGCCAGAGCCTAGGCCAAAGTTGTGAGAGGCATCTATGGTAGTTGTGGGTCAACTTGGCTGGGCCTGGTTTTGAGTGGCTGGGCAGCTGGATGTAGTTATTCCCCATGATGAGACTGGTAATCAACTCCGTGATGGTATCTACTGTGAGGAGCTGAGGAGCTGCCTTAGGGATGTGATCTGATTCCAGTATATAATAAGAAGCATTGAGAAAGCTCTTTTTGGCACACTTGGTCCCTGCATGTAGCCATGTCTTCATCTCAATGGCCTGCCATCTTGTCTGCCAATCTTGGGACTGTTGGTGGACTTGAATTAGTGGCCTGCCTTGTTGCTTCATAATCTTGGGACTGTGCCATTTTACTTGCTGACTTTGGGTTTGTCATCCTCAGCAGCCAGCAGCTGCCTGAGTTAAGAGAAACCTCCAGCTCCAGTGAGCTGGGAGCAAGAGGCAGAGCTGAAGCCCAAGATTGAGGGGCTTTCACCCAGCTCCTAGAGCTGACACTTTGAACTCAGACTTCTAGCCTCCAAAACTGTGACTGTAAAAATCCCTGTTTGTTAAAACCACCTATTTGTGGTATTTTCTGTTAGAGCAGCACTCGAGTTAACCAAAACAGCATCTGAAGTTGTGTTGGCCTGCTTGCTCCCCCCTCAGACAAATTAGGCTGCCAAACTTTTTTCTCAAGTAGCTCTCTCTACCTGTAAAATGAAAATGTAGTCTCCAAGCTCAAGATCACTTCCTTCAAGAAAGCTTTTCTGACCTGATCTCCACCCCCACCCCTTTCCCACCTCCTCATTCATGCAGGACAGAATTGACGAGCCCCTCTTTGTGCCTCTTATGTTTCCTGTATGCTCTTTATCGTAGCACCTGTAGCAATTTGATACACACAAATTGTGTACCAGGGAGTCTCTCACTATTGCATCCCCAGTGCCCGTCTAACAACCTGATATACAGTAAGTGTTTAATATTTGTTGAATGAATGAAGTGAGTAGATGGCTCTAAGTAAGGATTGTCTTAATAGAAAACATGATTTAGTGGATGTCTCATATGTCAATCACAGACTTGTGATCTGCTAGATTGCTGCCATTTTATAGGAGGCAAAATTGAAGGAGTGAGTGGTCCAGAGTCCAAGTCAGTGAGTGGCAGAGCCAGACCTGGACTGACTCTTCAAACTCAAATAATGTTGAAGAAATATCTTACTTTGATCAGGAATTATCAAGTTGTATAAAATGGGAACTTGTCAGATATTCCCCAAATAGAAATAAGTGAGAGTAACTGCAGATTTTTGCCATTCTTTCTCTATTCCACTTTTCCTACCCTCCTCCATAAATCAAATATGGTGGATTATCAATAGACCCTCTCATACAAATGATTCATTATCATACATTTATTCATTTACACAATATCAGTTTAGTTTCTAATTCTGTGCTTAACACAAAGAATAATAAAATGAGAAATGGCTCAGAGCATTGGCTGAATCCAGTGTGGAAAGTGCTGTACTACATATTTGAGTAGAGTTCTAGAAGAAATCAGAGATTATAACAAAAACACTTGCCTATATAACATAGTTTACAAAGACAGTGTTCTACATCCTACTGTGGTGTGTAGTGACTGAGATCTTAAAAGCTAGAGAACAGTCATTTAAGGTGCTACTATTGTTATCTCTCCATCTGAAGCAAATAAGAGTGAAGAAAATCAAAGACACATAGAAACAAGTAGTCCAGAGGACTAATAGACCACATGAACCTCAGCATCCTTGACTTTGAAATCAAAAGAATCAGAGAGTGCCTGACTACTACTACCTATCACTATGAAGGGAATTATAATATAAATACAATATATGGATAGAGTAGGAGAAAATATGGAACCAAACTCAAAATAATAAAAGAAGACCAGGTTTACTGATCTGATCAAGATTGGTAAAACCCCCAAAACTGGGCCCTTATTCACCCTTCAAGCCTGAATCTAAATCTGAATCTGAATATCACTCTGTGGTTCAACTTTCAGCCAAGCAATAGATAGTTCTGTAAGGTGAACAATAAAACTGCAGATGTATATACTCCTTAGAACAACTGGACAAATGGGATCAAAAGAGCAGCTTTTGCCCAAGGATACAACTCAGAAGGCAGGAAGGGATAAGAAGGAAGGACAAATAGAAATGGGAAACACACAGAAGAAATGGGAAGGGTGATGTTACATTGTGGGGATTAGAATCAATGTCATAAAACAAAAAACTATGTTGAGAAATATTGTTAAGAGCCTGTTGTTCTTAACTCTGAAGTATGAATATCATCCTGTGGGCCACTGGGAGTCACTGGGCTACTGTCATTGTCTCTGGGTTTAAATATACTTTGTGAGGAAGTACTTTATATTAAAGGTCTAATGGCTTATTAGGAGCTCTGGTGGCAAAGTGCCTAAGGCATTTGACTGCTAACCAGAAGACTGGTGGTTCAAACCCACCAGCTACTTCTCGAAAGGAGGTTGGGCAATCTACTTCTGTAGTAATCCTACCTTAGAAACCCAAGGAGGGGTTGCTATAAGTTGGAACCAACTTGACGGCAATGAGTTTTTTTTTTTTATCCTTTTTTTTTTTTTTTTTGGTTAATGGCTTATTAGGAAAGCATGACTAAGCTAATGAGAGTCATGATCTTTTGAGCCCAAGAATGATTATAGTCCCAAGGGAATAGACTGGGATCTGGATCTCTGAGGGTTGAGAGGGCCATAGTTCCAGTGAACTGGAATTCATACATGCAGTACCATGACCACTGTCACATTTGTTTTGTAGTTCCATGGAGAATGGAAGACCACCTGATCCTGCAGACTGGGCTGTGATGGATGTCGTCAATTATTTCCGAACAGTAGGATTTGAGGAACAAGCTAGTGCTTTTCAGGAACAGGTAACTAATGCAGTCAAACGATGAGGGACACACTTACCTCCCAACCATGGGAGGAAGGGCATGAGGAAGGAACAGTGAGGGATCAGAACTGTTGCCCTTGCTTTTTGCAAGTCTTCCATATCAAATCCTGATGATATCAGTCCCTAAGGAGTTGAGGGGGTGGGGAAGGGAAGAGTGAAAGTGAGAGGCTAATGATTCCTTCTTAAAAGAGAAAACCCCAAAGCCTGAGACAGTTACAGCTGCAAAGAGGAGGGCTACAGCTCATTTACATCTGCATCTTCTGAAAGACTGATGCTACTTAGGGTAGCCCACCATGTAAACACATTAGAAAGTGAAAAATAAAAAAGAAAGATAAAGGGACAAATATGACTGAGAGACATGCAGCACCTTATACTACTGGTCTCAGCATGAACCGAGCTAGTAAAACCCCTTCAATTTCCTCTCTGGGTACTTAGGAGGGTAGAGTGGAAAAAGCATAGGATTTAGAGTCAAATCCTGGTTCTTCTATCTCTGTGGGCAAGTTACTAGAACTCCCTGAGCCTTGGTTTCACATCTATAACATGAAGCTATCATTACCTAACTTTACAGGATATCATTGGGAGGATTAAAGGACAATGTACACAAAATGTCTAGGATAGGGCCTAGCACAATGTTGATGATCAAAATTGTTAATTGCTTTCATTCAGGTCCAGGGTTGGTGTTAGGAAGACGAAATGAGGAGCAGGGAATTTTTTCCAATTATCTGGGTGCTCATGACTCCATTTTATGGCCTGGGTCAACTATGAAGGGATGAGGCTGAAGGGACTTGACCATGATGGGGCAAATTGAGGAACACACTGTGGTCTGAGCCAGCTTGTGGGGAGATAAGAGTACCTATCCTTGTCAATGAATGCTGTAGTCTTGTAAGCATTAAATACATTTTTCTAATATTATAATGTAGTTGAGAGAGTTGTAATCCAGAAGAATTGGTCTGGCTGCTTGTTCCACATTCCTTCAGCCATTTCTTATTCTTTCGAGCTTTTGGCTGCCTGACCTGGGCTTGAATAAGGTGAACTTTTCTAGTATCGCATATGCCACTCTAGATTTCCTTCAACTATTTTATCCTTCAGACCTGATCCATGTTTTTTTTTTGTTTGTTTGTTTATTTGGAAAATTTGCCAAAATAATAGCTTAAGTCACTTCCTACTCACTGTTGTTGTTGTTGTTGTTATGTGCCATCAAGTCGGACTCGACTCATAGCGACCTCTCCTTGGGTTTCCAAGGTGGTATCACTATAGAAGTAGATTGCCCAACCTTCCTTCCGAGGAGTGGCTGGTGGGTTTGAACCACCAGCCTTTTGGTTAGCAGTCAAGTGCCTTAGGCACTATGCTACCAGAGCTCCTTTAGAATAGCTAAAATTAGAAAGATTGATAAACTCTAAATATGTATGAGGATGTGGGGCAACCAGAATTCCCATAAACTGTTGATGAGAATATAAAGGATGATCCACTCCATGATCCAACAATTTCACTCTGGGGTATTTACTCAAGGGAAATGAAAAGATATGACCACAAAATGATTTACCCAGAATTGTTCTTAGTAGCTTTATTCACAATGGCCCAAAACTGGAAAATCAGGTGTCCGTAAACAGGAGAATAAATATACCAAAAAAAGCAAAAAACAAAAAAGAGCCAAGCCAATTGGCTTCAAGTCAATTCTGACTCATCGCAACCCCATGTGGACAGAGGAAAACTGCTCCATAGAGTTTCCTGCTTCTTTGGAAGCAGATCACAAGGCCTTTCTTCTGAAGTATCTCAAAGCACCAACCTTTCAGTTAGTTGAATGCTTACCCATTCATGCCACCCATGGACTCCAATGAGCACAGACATTGTGATATTTTCATATAAAGAAATGAACTACTGATATTTGCAACTGCATTGATGAGTCTCAGAAATATTATGTGGTGATAGAAGCCTTACACAAAAGAGTTCATATTGAGTGATTACGTTTATAAAGTTTCAGAATAGGAAAATGAATCAATGGTAGAAGAAAATCAGAACATTTGTTGCCTCTGGCTAGGAGGTGGTGGGGATTGACTGCCAAGGGGAATGAGGAAGCCTTCTGGTTGATGGTGTATCTCAATTGAAGTTTGGGTTACAGGTATATGTCAATAGTTCACTTAAGATCTGTGTATTACATAGACTATAAATTTTACCTCAAATGGAAAAGAACTGTAAGCCAATAGTGAATAATTAATAGTTAGCAAATTGAAGTAGTTAGGGAAAAGTATACTAATGTGCACAACTTACTTTGAAAGACATTAAAAAAGTGTGGGATTGATGACTGAATAGGAAGATGAATAGATGGATAGATATATGATAAAGTACACTAAAAGTTAACTGAGAAATCTAGGTGAGGGGAATATGGATGTTTACCTCTATAAAATTCTTACAACTTTTCTTCATGTTTGAAAATTTTTATGATAAAATCATAGAGATAAACAATATCTTATGTTGAAAAGTGAAGACTGATCACTTGGAACATATTTTATATTGGTTTTTAATGGTGTAATATCCATTTGTGTCATTGCAGTTGAGTATCTCCTGTATACAATTAAATTTAAATAATGTTGTGAAAGGTTACCAAAAAAAGGGAGTCAGCTAAAAGGTCTTTTGGCCAGATTCCCAGCCTTCCAGAAACCTTTTTCAGGTTGAGCTTTTGTTCAGACTCCTCTAAGGCACACATCCAAGATTGGGGTGGGGATGGGAAGAGGCTCTGTGGGCCTTCCAGATCCTGTGCAGGATTTCAGAAATAAGACTGGACAGCTCTAAGCTGGGCCCTGAAGCAAACCTTTCTCCCAAAGATGATCTCACTCTGGCACCAGGGACTCTGGGAGGCAAAAGGGAGCAAACTCTCCAGAAGCATTTCATTCAGAAATCTTTCAAGGGGAAAAGGAACATCTTGCTATTGTGTTGACTCTGCCAAATCAGGAGCCCGAGAAATGAATATCCAGAGCGCTGGCATTTTACAGGCATCACCCAGCAGCTCGAATGGTTTCATTCTCATGGAAGGGTAGGTAGGGGAAAAGTATCAGCCTTGAGTTATTCTTGAATCTTTATCCTGATGTGAAATCCTCCTCATTTTTTTTTTTTTTTCTTCTCCTCTTTGCTTTAAAGGAAGTAGAAGGCAAGGAGGGAGTCACTGTTCAGACTCAAGTGGATAAAACAAAGTAGGTGCTGTGATTTTAGGAGGACTGAGGATCAGGCTCCTCTACCATGCTCACATGCCTCTTTCATCACCATGTTGCAGAGGCTTCAGTGTTGCACTTTCAAGGATCTTCTTGGCAATGAACCTCAAGTCTACTCAGCAGCCAGTAGTCATATATTCACAATATCCTGCATGGGAAGACTGCAAACCACATAGAACCTAAACACAACCCAGGCACATCTTCTAGATCATAGCAGCTGTGAAACAATTAGAATAGCCACATTCCTTTAATGTTCTTGGGGAAGGCTTTGCCCTGCCATTTTGCAGAGGTGGGGCAGTGATGGAAAGAATACCCCAAGCATCTCTGAAAAGGGCAGGCCCTAATGGGCAGCATGGTTGCCAGTGATGTGGGGAGTTTATGCCGCATGACTTCATGACTGAAATTACTGCCAGATGCTTCCACCATCACATGGACCAGCTTTCGGGAGAGTGTCTATCTTCATATTCTGGTCTCACAGTACATTACTGGATGCTGTGTTGCTGTAGCAACCAGGCTCAGATCTGGCTTTCTAGCAGTGTGCCCCTTGGAAGATGTTAGGCCATTAAGTAAGATTTGTTCGAAGAGCAGGAGTGGTGCCCTATATTCCTGTGAGATGGAGAGGCACCTGGATTAAGCTGGTAATCTTTGCATAACCTCCTTTTCTCTGTGCAGGCACACTTCTGAATTGCACAGGCAGCACAATTATCCTCATCAGGTTTTCCCCTGGCAACACCTCTTCTAAGTCTTCTGGGTGACCCACAACTACAAGTCAAAAGAACCATCAACTGCAAAGGCCTGAGTCTCTAGTCATCCCCCTGCCCTGCCCCACCACCAATGGCCCAGTGTCAATAGTGTATGTGTTTTGGGTTGTATTACTTTTGTAGTGAGTCTTCTTTTATGAACAATGATGTCACTCTTCCTCAGATTGCCATATAGTTTGTGTCATCAAGGCTACATCTGTTCACTTTGTGAAACAACTCGCACTGTGGGAAGTCCGGTCTTTTGGCCTCATTAACATGGTGCTCCAAAACTACGTTCACTGGCCCGTAAGAGCAGGAGGCTGTAGGAGCCTTTCCCAGAGAAGCAGTGAATGTTTACAACACCACCAGTACCATCTCTATTTCCAGTAACAGCCCTTTCCTACAGACACAGTGACATGGTGGCTACTTTCCCAAATGTCTTTTAGCAGAAAGACCTTTTAGGCTGTGGTAAATGACATGAGAGTATAACTCTAGTTTATTTTTATGGTCACTGGATGATCCTGGAAGATTTACTTTTCTAGGACTGATTTATATAAAGTGAATGTTGAGTTAAACAAACAAGTTAGTGCTCAACCTCCTGCTCTGAGTCAAAAAATACTATCTTGAAACTGGTGCTGGAGTATGATTTTGAAGCAGGGCATAGGGCACAAAAAAACTTAATTTTTTTTTTTTTAAGATGTTTGAATTGTTGTGGCAGTATGATAAGGAATTGCCACTTGCCCATGGATATAGTTTGCCTGGTTTTCAAGCATCAAAGGTACCTCAGGAATTAGACTTTGCTAAAAGCTTTAGTTTTAAGAGAAACCTTTTGATTCATCTCATTCAAAAACATCTCCACTTGTCTCACAGAGAATGTTCAGAATAAGTGTTACTTTCTTAAACTCTAAGAGCTATATGACCCCACGTTATCTGGTATGAATCTATCTCTTTTGGCAATGCTTTGGTTGCCAGGTAAGGAGTTCTGTCTGTCCAGCAGAGTAACTTCACCACTCAAACCAGACTATAACTGTAGG